GCGGGGCGGGCTGGGGACAAAGATCATTGAACCTACAGGGGTTTGGCTGACATTTGTAGCATGTTAGCGATATGTTTCAGAGTATTTCCATTTCATGTTATTGACTTGAAAAAAAAGTGTTCATCAGCAGTTCTGTCCCGTATGTGCCATTGTGTTGTCCAGTTAAAATTGGCAGTTGAATTAAATGTGTCTGTTTTGAATGTGCTACTCTGTAAAAACATGGGGAGAGTTTTTATAGTTTTAATACTTGCTAATTTATATACTTAGATAAAACTAGTAATTTCCCCCCTTTTTAGAAGAAATCCTCACATGTTTGAAAACAGAAAGCCAAAAATGATTTTGAGGGAGAGTTTGTAAGAGTTACAGAGTGCCATGGTGCTGTCTTAGTCCAATGTGGTGTCTCCCTGTTGAGATAAATGGAGATGAATTATTTTTTCTTCTCACATTGTTCTTGCCTAGGTTTTTTGAATAGAGAGTTTTCTGCCTTTTGTTATTTCCTTTTCTTATGATTTTTAAATTATATGACCTTAATAAGTAAGAATTTTACTTCCTGTGACCTCTAAAATTGTTTAAATGTTGAACGTTAACGTCAGTGCCTCAGACATCGTTCCAGTAGCCAATTACTGGGTGGTTGGGACAGTCATGATGTATTTTTCTATGTTTTTCAATGCAAAAATGCATCAAGACTTCCCGATGACCCAGTAGTTTAAACTGCAGCATTATCTGTGCTGAGCACGTCTCCTTGAGGTCCCTCGTGTACTCAGACAGAAACAGGAAAGTACAGTATGAATATTTTATCATGTTCTCGTTATCAGCAGTGAAACTGGGAGCATTCATCTTCTGGCGCTATTCACATTTTTAATGAGGCCATTCTGACTGTTCCCTTTCACAGACCCAGTGACTGGAGACATTAGTTGATGCCGGTGACTTGCTCAAGGTCCCTTATCAGTTCCATGAAAGGCCACTGATACAGCCTTTAATTTTCCAACTTCCAGCAGAGGGCACTGTGTATCATCAGATTCTATGATAATATCAGACATCCTGGTGCTTAAATTTGTGCGTTTAGGTGGGGATCTCAGGTTTTTACCTTGTTTTTATTGTGGGCTTTTGGTTATGATTCAAGATTTTTGTTAGCTGTGTGAGTTTTTTAGGTGTAACGATAAATAATCTACTCTCTGTGTCTGTACTTGTTTTTGGTGGTATAGTCTAGAATAAGGTATTCAGAGTGGTAAACTGGTATTGTAAGGAGCACCTCTGTCTGTCTGCAAGGCGGTCGAGAGACATGTCTCATAGTTCAGAGCCCACAGTTCAGAGCCCAGTGCCCGAGTGAGCGAGTGAGTGAATGAAAACGTGTAGGAAGAGAGGCGGGTTAGGGTCATCTTTGGGGACATGCAAAATGGGTAATATGCATACTTACTCAGTAATAGCTGTGTGGTGGTTAATTGTATGTCAGAAATTATTGTATCCTGTGAGCAAACATTTTATCACCTTTTTTCAAGGTCAGATAATTTTGCATTGTAAAGACTTATTAATGGTTTTACTTGAAGTATAAGTAAGTGTTATTTTATTGCTATTAAGACAATGATTCTTCCCATTTTTAGTTGTATTTTTCATATATACAGTTGGTAAGCAATACTTAATTGATATATTCATAAAAATCTATGTCGCTTTAATAAGCATGTTTAAAATACTAATTTTAGTCAAGGAAAAAGTCTTTGAATGATTGGATTGGAGTGACTGAATTATCACTGACACTTTATTTTTTCATTGAGCATTTAAATTTCCTTATTTTTACTAGATTTGTTAAATTGAGGGTACAAAACACTGGGTAAGGTTTGTCCAGTGTCATTCATGGACATTAACTTGAAAATAATGACTTACCTACAATTTTGGATGTCAATAAACCTGGCAGGGTAAGAGGCGCATGTTAAAATAATGGAGCGTTTAAATTACATCAGTGTATAAGAGCATTTTTACACCTAAATTGTTGAGCTAAATCCAAATTATAAATCATAGACTGCGTAAACTCTGAAGCATATAATTTGATGAAAAGATTTTTGTTTTTACTTATAATGATTACTCTAGTTTGAATTGACTCACATTATATTCTCTCCTTATTTATCTTTGGGTGAATGGAGAAGATGAGGATGGAGGAAAGAAAACTTTGTTGTTAGAAAGGAATTACTATTGGGTTGTCGGAAAAGTCATGATGCGTTTTTGCAACGAAAAACATAGAAAAAATATGTCATGACTTTTCCAACAACCTGATATTTTAGTTAGGCAGTCCATAACTATAAATCTGTAATCATCATATGTGTTTGTTTATGTGTTTTTTATTTTTGAAGAAGTGTTTGTTATTTGAACTAACTTATTAATGAGTGGGCATAGCAGTGATTCCAGATACTTAACTTCTGGCAGGCTCATTGCCATTTGTCTGAGATTAATAGCCTTGAATGTTGCTGCTGGAAATGCCTGTCATTTTGAATCACTAACTAGTGCAAATACCCTGATAACTGTGTTGACTTCCCATTTCACCAAACAGGAAGATTTATTTGAATCAATATTGACCTCAATTTGGTTTGAGCCAACATTTAACTCAATAGATATTTTCTTTCCAGTATAAGTCGTCATCTTCTATTTAACTTGCAGATAATTTTGCAGAAAGGCAAAACATTTATCTTTCACATTTTAGAAAGTCTGTGCTTATTAATGGCTTTCAGATGTTTTTTGACCACAGTACACAACACAAAATCATATTTCACATTATGCCCTGGTGGACACATACCTGCATGTATATATATGCACCCGAAAGCGTGTCACATAATGCTACCCTGACCTTACATCCGGCCAGTGGGGGCAGGGAGACACGCTAGTTGAAGAACTCTGTAATTGAAGTAACCTACCCTTTGAATTAATGTGACCCTGAATACCTGGAAGTACATAAACATTACTACAGTGCTAATCCTTAGAAATGGGCCAAATTACTGTTTCTCTTGGTTTGTTTTTGGCCGGTCCTCGTTTTTGTAGTGTCAGACTGGATGATGAAAAGTGCCTGGAATTTCTGTGACTTTAAGAAAAAGTGTGTGAGTAGGATGTATTTTTTTAAGGCATGCGTCAGTGTGAGCGTTGAAAAATGCTCCCCAAGCGGCTGAAGGGATCTTCGGGGATCATCTTGGGTGACTTTTATCAGGCGACAAAGACAATAGCTAGCTCTTGGGAAATTTCTCTCCCCCGTGTGTAAGAGCTCAGTATCAGGCTCAACGTGGTGTAGATTTTCTCTGTGCCTTTTCATTGTGACTTGAGCCGTCGCTGTAGCAGCTGCACAGCGGCGTCATCTCTGTGTGCTACGCGAAGTCTTCGTGAATAATAGAGAATCATGTCAGATCTGCTCTCAGGACGGAAGCAGATACTTCAAGGAACTGACCTCTGAGGAGCTGGGGGTGATAACTCTGAGTGTGCTCATCTGAATATTCAGATACGCCCCATATGAAGGCAAGGCATTGGGCTGTTTATTATCTCAGAAAACTGTGTGCAGGTTTAAAAAGTAGTTCAGAAATCTGCACAGGTGGGCAGCAATGTTATTAGCTGCGTGACCTGGTTTTCAGAGACAGTAACATTCTTCTTTCAGAACTCAGGACGCTCCTGGGCCTGAGCTGACGCTGCCTGCAAGCATCGAATTCAGGGAGAGTTGTGAGTAATCTCAGATTCCATTGTTAGTGAATTACTGCTTGTTCCATTTTTCTCCATCTGATTTTCATGGGTTTTTGTTTTTGTTCTTTTTTTTCTTTTTTCTTCTGTTTTTGAACTCTTTTCACAGCTGAAGATTCATTTTTAGCTGCCATTATAAATTATACTAATAGCTCTACAGTCCATTTTAAGTTGTCACCTACGTATGTATTATACATGGCATGTCGGCATGTGCTGTCCGGCCAGTACAGACCTGATGTCAGTCCTACAGAGCGTCCTCACAGAGTGATCGCAATAGTCAACAAGATGGTGAGCATGATGGAAGGGGTGATTCAGGTAAGTGCACCTGTGACGCCATGCCAGCTCCCTCATGTGCTTGTCATTTTTAGTCAATCAAGATCGTTTCTGTAATGTTTCAGATTTGGTTATATGTTTGCCTTTATCTTAAGAATGTTTTCCTAAATTAAAAGTTATATAAGTTGTGTTGAAAAATGTATAGCTTTAAAAGTTGAAAAGAAATGTAATTTTTTTTCTATTTCTTCCCTGCAAACTTTAGAATAAGGGAAGATAAGCTGTGTACATGGTAACATAATAATCATGAAAGACACCCTTAAAATTATAATAGTTGTTGTGAGAAAGGATTGTAACTTGCTGTGAGTTTTCTTGGAATTTTTTAAAAAGTAATTTATTGAGATGAAAGTCACATAACATAAAATCAGCCATTTTACAGTGACCAATTCGGTAGCATTCAGTGCATTCACAGCCGTCCCCTCGCTCTGGCTCCAAAACATTTCCATCACCTGCAGTAGAGCCCCGCCCCACGAGCAGTTTGTCCCGGTGCCTTCCCCCAGGCCTGGCAAGCCCCTTAGAATCCTCTGTGGTTATAAGACGCACTTGCCCTTTTATAATGAGCCTCTTGTGCTGCTAGTAGGACTGTCTGGGGTTGTGTGGTTTTTTTTTTATAATCCTGGTGTAGGTGTAATATACATCGTGACATTTCTCACTTACCATGAGACTCAGGCTTAAATTCTTTCATAAATCTATTTGAAAATTTCAGGAAGCAAGGGTATTCTCTCGGTAGAATGGTTTGTTTCTTTTAGGGACTCTCTACAGTTGATAAATTGGCATAACAGTTTTCCATACTTACAGATAATTTGAAGATTTAATCTCAAAGTAAATTGACAGATTTTTAAAATAGTTTTCCTAAATCACGTGGCAATGCTGTTATTCAACTGTAAAACTCTAGGATAGGATGTTAAGTAACAGGATTAGATGGTTAGGTTGTTTTTCTCCTATTAGGATAGTTTGAGGCTAACTATGTAATCTTTCAACTCCCTCAGAATTGTTTGATGAGGGCAGAATTTTTAAAGAAATGTTTCTTTTATGTTTGAGTGGTTAGCACATGAATTTGGTGGAGTTAGGATTCTTTTACCCAGCTGCGGATAGGGATTTAAAAGGAGAGTCATTTTATTTGGACACTGTTCTGTACACTCTTATTTTATAAACAACCATGATTTCCTTTTCAGTTGTCATTCAAAGCCATTGTCTGTCTTCCATCATGTTCGGATTTCTAAAGCCTGTTTCAAATAAGAAAATCCTGTCATCAAACTGCTTTTGATAGATTTTCCATGTTGAATTTGAACTAGTCACTGAAATCACCATTATCAAATCAAGTCTTTTAAACTTCAGATTTAGGTTTAGTATGTGATTGGAGGAATCTTAACATTTTAGTAAGAAACTATGGTAGTGAATAATTTGAATTCTTTAATTTGTGAAAACATACTTTCAGAAAACAATTTATTCTTTTTTAGTATAAGTTTTTTATTCGTTTTTAAATTCTCAATTTTTTATTGTTTCTGTTGGTCTTTCCTGTCTCTTTCATAATTAATTAATCAATCCAGGGGAAGAGACTCTTCTTCCGGACCTTTAAGTAGTCAGACACACAGTATCATCGGGATGTTCAGAAGTCCTTCCTTTGTGAATCTTTTAAAGAGAGCCATATGTTCATGTGTCTATTGTAACGTCTTTAAAGATAAACTCTAGGAATTGATTTAGTTATTGTCCCAGTGTTCAGAACATAGAACTAGTCCCTTATGTCACATTCTCCAGGAGCTTCCCCGGGACCTTAAATGAGTATGTAATTTGGGAAGAACATAACTAAATGTCGTACCTTCATGTCGTACCTTCATATTGGTGTTTTGATTTTTTTGAACTACCATGATTGTTTACAAGTTTCTTTCTCTCGTTCTGCTTGATTTCCCCTCGTCTGTTTTTCTCCAGGAAGTAGACCAGGTTGATCAGGTAGGACATACTGCTGGGACCTGATCCTGGCTGTGTTGGCTTAGCTGAGTTTCTCATGCTGCTTCCATGTCAAATACAGCACTACAACTGGACTGAGCAGTTCATAACACTCATTCGGCAACGAAACATGCACTACTAAAATCCTTTTTGACTGTGCAACCTTTATCGGCATTTCATAATTTCTGCTTAATGCACTTCAGTGTGAATATGAAATGACAAAAGTTCTGTTTCTTCTCTTTATCGTTTATCCTTGGTTCCTATTCTTTGGATCTCATCTGAGGTTGCCTGGCCTGCACATGTGGTCGGGAGATGAGGCGATAGATCAGTACTTGATACCGAGTTGCTTGGTGTCCACGCCAGTGACTGCGAGTATCAGGGTGGCTGTGGGTAACCATGGGGACGTGTGTGTATACCTCACAGATTACCAGATAATGCACACCTTCCGATTCGGTGTTGTAGTATAATATTTGCCCTCTCCATTTCTCCATTGATTCCATAAATCGTAGCTGATTAGATCCATGTGTCTGTATGTACACCCTAAGAAGTGGTTATGGATTTGCCACCGCTGTGTATGTACCCAAATTCCTTTGCAAATATCTGGTATCTGTGGTAAATACCTGGTGACATGGGAAGGTACTGGTCTATCTTCAGCGGCTTTTCAAGAGCATCCCTTTTTGTGTTACTGTCTTTGTTTGTCCTGTAGCTGCTTATGGAGATGTGTTCTGTCTGCAGAAACAGAAGAACATCGCAGGGGCACTTGCTTTCTGGATGGCAAATGCGTCTGAACTCCTCAACTTCGTTAAGCAGGACCGAGATCTCAGTCGGATCACCTTGGATGCCCAAGACGTTTTAGCACACTTGGTTCAAATGGCGTTTAAGTAAGGAGCATAGTTTTGGAGATGACACTGTTCTATAAAGATTTAAATTGTATGTTTTCTTGTTGAATTTTCAAAACTAATTTTAAAGGTTTTCATTTACCCTAATTGAAGATGAATATCAAGAAGCATAAATAACTACGCAAAATGTGTTGACTTAATAAATTGAATTCAGTGAGCTATGTTTCACGAATCCTGAGAGTAAAACTATTATATTTTTAAATGAAAATATTTCCAAACATTACAAATTGTTTTACACATGATACCATGTCTGATGACAGCAGTGCCGCATGTTGAGATGATGAATACTGTTTATGTATTTTCAGGTATCTAGTTCACTGTCTTCAGTCGGAACTGAATAATTATATGCCGGCCTTCCTGGATGACCCTGAAGAGAACAGTCTACAAAGACCAAAAATAGGTTAGGATACTCTCTTTCACCTTCCCTCCCTTCTTCCCTTCTTTCCTTGTTCTCTCCTGCCTGTTTAACTTCATTTTGATATTTAATATTTGTAAGAGGGAGGTATTTTACAAATAAATCAGATGTCCTATTGGATTTGGCCTTCTTATTAAAATAATTTTAGCTATCGTCTGTTTTATTTAGCAGTAGTTGTAATTTTGCAGTGTCATGCTGGTCCTGCCTTTTAGAAAGTCTCTTAGGGTGAGCGTGAATATTAGCTAAGTCCGGTGAATACCCATATGTAGCTTACAGCCACGTCACGCCTCCTGTTTGAATGAGGCGGGTGTTCTAGAAGGGAGTGAGCAGGCCTTCCCGTAACTGCCATTTTCTGAGCATACGGCTGCTTCCCGAGGCTCTTCCCGAATGACATTGCTGCCCTGCCTCACCCTGCGTTTCTGAACAGACGACGTTTTGCACACGCTCACGGGCGCGATGTGTCTGCTGCGGCGATGCAGGGTCAATGCGGCCCTGACCATCCAGCTCTTCTCTCAGCTCTTCCACTTCATCAACATGTGGCTGTTCAACAGACTGGTCACCGACCCCGAGTCGGGGCTGTGCTCCCACTACTGGGGCGCCATCATCCGCCAGCAGCTGGGACACGTGGAAGCGTGGGCTGAGAAGCAGGGCCTGGAGCTGGCTGCTGACTGTCACCTCAGCAGGATCGTGCAGGTGGGTGGTCCCGGGAAGAACCGGGGTGCAGCAGAACCTCAGCACCCCCCTGCTGGGCTTTTTCATGTGTAGAAATAATGGAACCATGGTGTATGCGATTGCCTGGGTCGCTGTAACAGTACAGCACACTGGGTGGCTTAAACAACAGATTTTATTATCTCAGTTCTGGAGGCCTGAAGTCCAAGATCAAGGTGCAGCAGGGTTGGGCTGGGAGGGGGAGTCTGTGTCAGGGCCCTCTCCCAGCTTCTGGTGGGTCACTGGAGGTCTTTGGTGTTCCTGGGTCTGTAGACACATCCCCGCCCCCCTACCCCCACCCCTCACCTCTGTCCTCGTCTTCACAGAGCATTCGCCTGTCTGTGTCCACATGTCCGCTTCTTATAAGGGCATCAGTCAGAGATCTGCTGACTTCATTTTGACTAGATTGCACTCTCAAGGCCCTATCTCCAAATGAGGTCACATACTGAGGTGCACAGGGGTCCGACTTCAACATGGGAATTTGGGGAGACACAGCTCAACCCATAACAGGTGGTAACCAGTAGAACAAATATTCTTAAATGGTCCTTTTTATTCAGATTAGGAAAGTATATGTCATAAAGCTCTGTACTAGAAGACGAAGTCTTATTTAAAAATGGACACTCGTTAACTCTTAAGAATACAAAGCCAGGGGACCACAAAGCAAAAACCTGTATACTGTAGTAGACACACAAAAGAGAAAGAGAAAGGAAATCTAAATACCACTCCAGAAAATCCTCAAGTCACAAAGGAAGAGAACAACAGAAGAAGAGAAGAGTTCTAGAACAGCCAGATCCTAATGGCTTAACCATTTCTGGGGGGAATTTCTAAGATATTCGAAGTCAGTAACTGTTTTACACTTAAAGAAATGAATATCGATAGCCTCAAAACTAGGACAGATTTTTGTTACTACACCATAGTTTTGTATTCTCAGTTTCTTAGTCTAGTGTAAGGACATTTAGCACAGAAAGAGTCAGCTGCCTACCCTCCTGCTTTGACTGAGTCAGCTGGTTATAAAAAGGTCCTTGCAGTGAAGCTATTCAGACCCCAGTAATTGGTCATCTGAATGGTTATGGAAATATTTCCAGGCTCTAAGAATTTTTTAAATGTTTTATAACGTACAATTGAATTTCACTTTATATATGTATATATATTTTAGTAAAATTTAGAGGCCATGTAAAAACCCTTCATAGGCAATGCTTTCAGTTCAATTTAATGTATATAATTCATGTTAATGGAAGTTTGTTTTCTTAAAAATACCCTGCATTTCAAAATCCAATTAGCGAGTTACTACCTTTGTACAAATGTACATAAAGGAGAATATTTATGAAATACTTCTAAGTCATGTGTCCTGTTGTTTGTTCTCCTAAAAGGCAACCACTCTGCTTACAATGGACAAGTATGCACCTGATGACATTCCTAATATAAACAGCACCTGCTTTAAGTTAAACTCACTACAGCTTCAAGCCTTATTACAGAACTATCACTGTGCGCCCGATGAACCTTTTATCCCGACGGTAAGTGAACGGTGTCCCGTTACTACACACGGTGCTGCAGGGCGCGTTTGCACAGGGAGATGTGGGTGAAAAGCAGATAGGAGAACTTGTTTAATAAGTTACCTTATTTTCTGAGACTTAAGTAAGTAAGTTAGACGGTTGGATCCAGTATTGCATGTATGCCAACAAAAGACATCTCTGAAAATAGCCCCAAACTAGATACCACCAAGTGTCCCCCAGCAGTACCGTGTAGAAATGTCATGTCGTGGATGTAAAGGAATGCCACCCTGAGTGAAAAAGAATGAACCGTAGCTACATGACAACCTGGGTGCATGCTAGGTCATGATTTGCACAGAAGTTAAGTCAGATACAAGGTCCAAACAAGTGCTTCCAGCTGTCTGAACTTCAGGAGCCGACAAGAGCAGTGGCGAGGAAAGCTGGGAGCAGGGCCTTGGGGAGGGCCTGCCTGCGTGCGTGCGTGCCTGCCTGCCTGCCTGCATGTGTGCGTGCGTGCCTGCCTGCCTGCGTGTGTGTGTGCCTGCCTGCGTGTGTGCACACATGCCTGCCTGCCTGCCTGCGTGTGTGTGTGCCTGCCTGCGTGTGTGCGTGCCTGCCTGCCTGCCTGCGTGTGTGCACGCGTGCCGGGCCACTGCCCGGTAGGCTGCTGTGTTCACTTTAGTGTGCTGTGAAGTCAGGATTTGTGGACTTTGCTGTATGTGTGTTACGTGTTAATAAAAAGCTTTTAAACGGAAACCACTATAACCCATAATACAGAAATAACCACCCTGCCTATGTCATTAAATAGTCTATAAAAATAGGATTGTTAGCACTGGATGTTACAGAATTGTGCAAGGAAAAAATGATTCCTTTCAAAAAGAGGAAAAACCCATTTTCTTGGGACTAAACAACTTCTATTCAAAGCTACACATTACTTAAAATTAGTCATGAACGTCTTGGTTAGTATGTTGAGGTATGTGTTCGGCTGTTGTTTTGCTGCTTTACACCCGGGCCGTGGATATACTGACTGGGTGCTGTCCTTCCCTGGATGGCCCTGCACGTGCGGGGGTTGCGCCAGCCATGCAGCACCTCTCATTTGGCCTGTCTCCCTACCAGGACCTGATAGAAAACGTGGTGGCTGTTGCTGAAAACACGGCCGATGAGCTGGCCCGCAGCGATGGGCGGGAGGTGCAGCTGGAAGAGGACCCCGACCTGCAGCTGCCCTTCCTCCTGCCAGAGGACGGCTACTCGTGCGATGTCGTCAGGAACATCCCCAGCGGCTTACAGGAGTTCTTGGACCCTCTGTGTCAGAGAGGTGAGCGCGCCCTGAGCCGGGGCTGAGGCAGACCAGCGCTGACCCCTTCCCTTGGCGTTCCCTGAGCCTGGTGGCTCGAGTCGTCCTCCAGAGCCCGCTTGGTGTCGGTACCAGCCCAGTGGGCTTGTTCAAAGCGGCACAAGTGTTGGGACCAGATGGCCTGAGTTCTGATCCCAACCCCGACACCTACAGTCTCACCGTAAAGTGGCTGTGGTGACAGGACCCGCCTGTGGGTCTGCTGTGAGGATGGCTGGGTGCCTGCGCAGCCTGTGGGACTGTGGCCCAGGGCGGCACTGTCAGTGCCATGGCTGCGCTGTCACCGGGGCCAGGCCAGCATGTGGCTTGTGCTAAGACCTGGCCCCGGCGCAGCTCCCGTCCCGAGTTCCTCACCGCCTGGCCTACGGTTTCTCCTTGATGGTTCGCTGTGAGCACGCCATGCCGGTGGCACCATGACACCAGATGTTAGTCCCCATCTGCTGCCTCTCCATAGCGTGGAGCTCAGATGTGTCTCAAAATAGACCTCAAATTTCGGGGTTTTAAACAAATAGATAATGAAAAGTTAAGGCTATACGCCCATAGGTGTATCAATATAGTGAGTTGTGATTTTTTTTTTTTTAAGATTTTTATTGGGGAATTGAGGGAGGGGAACAGCACTGGGGAATCGGGGGGAGGGGTACAGAGAAGTTGCTCTTGTTTCGTTCTTCAGTCCAGTTGAGGAGGACGTGGCTTCACTGGCCCATGTTGGTATTATCATTGCGCTCTTCCTGAGTGAGGCAGATCGGTCGCTGGCCACTGGACCGCCGCTCACAGCGGCTCTTGGCAGCTCACATTGGCTGCCGGCCACTCAACGCTGGCTGCTGGCTACACACGGCAGCCCATGGCAACCCACTGCCACAGGGGCTGCAGCCTACGCCGTTGCCGGCGACTCACGGCAGCCCAGCTCCGGGTTGAGCTGTTGTTCAGCATCTTAGCTGTGGAGGGCAGTGTCACTGGCCCTCATATGTGGGTTCCCAACTGGGGCCCTCTGGTGTCCCAAGCCAGCTCTTAACCAATGCGCCACTTGGCCGGCCCTAGTGAGTTGTGATTTTTAACTTCAGCGAATATTTCACTCACCTCAATAGATTTTTATATCTTCAAAGATTTTCATAGTTTAAAAAGTTGGCTTTACAGAGGCTTATAAGGAAATGGAAACGTGACTGTCCTGGGCTCTCGGAGAAGCAGTGGCTGGGTGCGTGCGGTTCTAGAAGAACCAGTGCGGGGGGTGAATGGGTGGAGGCAGGAGTGGGCACGGGGCGCCCCAGCCCTGGTTCAGGGGACATGGGAGCCCCCGAGCCAGGGGTGCCTGTCAGAGATGCCTCAGCTGGTTCCTGGCACCAGAAGTGTATCCTCAGGGCCGGCCGAGTGGCACAATGGTTAAGAACTCGCTTGGGATGCCAGAGGGCCCCGGTTCGGATCCCACATAGGAGGGCCAGTGACACTGCCCTCCACAGCTAAGATGCTGAACAACAGCTCAACCTGGAGCTGGGCTGCTATGAGTCGCCGGCGGCGGC